TGAAGGAGACTTAAAATACAACAGATAACTTTAGAAAGGGGGGGGGGGCTGTGAGGGGACTTAAACCCAACGTCTACATGTAATGATGACAGCACACATGGCTCCACATTATAACTGGCCAGGACACATGACTGACAGAGACCAGACGTTAATGCCTTTGTCAGTCATTCTTTTGAGATCATCTTTAACTGCTACAGCATCAACACTTCAAAAGCACCCGCTCGTACACGTGTCTCAGTCAGGGGAGAAAATGAGGTAAGGACCCATGATTGAAAGGGGCTCTAAAAAACAATCAAAGATAAGGCTGTTTTTTAAAATATAATTCAAACTTAAATGAGGACATTTCCGGATGCTAACTTTTTTTTAAATTAGGTGCAATACAGTGACAAACTGGTGACAAAAATAACAAATGAGGCACAAAAAAACAAACAGACAAGGTGAGGACAACAACTCCAAAATACAGTAAAAAAAAAATAAAACAAATAAAACAAATAAAGACAGCAAAATATTAAGACATCAGACAGAGAGATATTTATTTATTTATATCTATATATTTATATATTTATTTTTACTTTGAATACCAGTTGTAGGAGCCATTTTGTGTTTATCGTTGGCATGTTGTATAATTAGATTTATCTGAATATATTATTTTCCACTAGGGACACTGAATGCACAGGGGTGTGTATATATAGTGGCACAGGTGACAGGAAAGGGAGGGCACAGGTACGGGGAGCACAGACAGTTCTCAACAGACCGGCATTCATGTTTCAGAACAGCACTCAGACAAACTACAATTCATTCATTCTACTGGCTACGCTTCACTGGAAATGGTATGTTTTTTGTTCTCATATCTCCATCAAGTCAAATAAACCTTCAACTCAACTTTAATAACGGCTGGAAAATCATTGTTTGCATCTGCGTAAGACTTCACCCCTACCTGTGTATCAGTAAGAGACTAAAAAATTCCCTCAAGAAGGATGCACAAAGTGCGCTCAGCAATGTTTTGTTGAGTATTACTACTCATGTAACATATGCATTAAAAGTGTTCCAATAATTGAACTATGATCTTCAAGGTGATGCATTCCACATTATTCATAACATTTTGAGTACAAACAGCTGTTTCAAAGAAGTTTTGAAATTCAACAAAGTATTGGTATATTTCAGCTGATGTCATTTTGCAAAACCAGCATATTCATCAGGCTTCACGCACACCTATGCGTGAAGTAAGGGGGGGACCGGAACCTCTCTCTCCTCATTGGAGGGGACCTGAGGTAGACCCCCCATGGAGCAGGCCAAGCTACAAAGCTCCAAGTCTTCCATTGCTCTCTCTCTTTCCACGCGCTGACTTCAAGTGTTCGGAGACCCAAGCTCACCTCCTGTTTCTGCAACCATCTTCCTTTGTTTTAAGTTTTGGCGCGCAGGTAATCCGCGGCCGGCAGTGTTCTAAATTCCGAGCTCGGATTGTCCAGTGAACGCATCTCAGTTTCTCGGAGAGCGTCAGACTATAACAGATTATCAGAAAGATAATGGTCTTATTCCGTCCTGTAACGAAAGGACATCAACGGACATCTTTCCACTCGACGGAGAACCAACGAAGCCGCTCTCGCCGTAAGGGACCCTCGCCGCCATCAGACGCCTCTGCACCAGGACGGACAGAAGATCTGCTCCATCGCCGGACTCTTTTCCTTTCACCAATCGCGGACAAAGCGATTCACAAGTGAGGCTTAAACTATTAAACATAGTTTAATGATATTTTATTTATATTATTAATAATTAAGTCTAATTATTAAAGAATATAACCAAAGTTGACTTGATACAACCCCAACTATCTCTCTCTCTCTCTCTCATATATATATATATATATATATATATAGAGATAGATATTTACCGTAAAATCCGGTGTATAAGACGCACTTTTAATACCTATTTTTTCGTCTTAAAAGTTGGCTGCGTCTTATACACCGATGCAACCAATATACTAGTATAAAATACTGAAACACGCGCCGTCATTACCGCGGGTGCAGCAGCCACTAACTGCAACCTGATGAGATTAAAAATCCATCCCCATTCATTGTGTATTGAAAGCTGAGTGCACGCTGTGCTGGGAAAGACGGGGACACAGACCAGGCTGCAGACATACAGTCTTGGGCTGGCTGCGCGACTTTTTCCACATCTTTTCTCCCTCACGAGGTCATAATCATGCATTTACAGAAAACAGTGGTATATTGTTCTGTAAATAAACCTTGTGGAGTTCTCTTTTGATTGAAAGACTCCTATATTAAAGTTAAAGAGTGACCAGCAGAGTCGGGCAGCACGACTTGCAAGCTAGCAGGTCTGAGCCTCACAACTTTCCCTGCAGGCTGAGAGCTAAACTACCGTACTGTAGCTAGTAGGAGCGCAGACTCCCGAAAGTGAAAACAGACGGAACTAAAAGAACGACACAGCTGCACAGAAACTGCACGTTGTAGACATCGCTGAACACAATATAAATCCTCACGCAGAAAACAGTTAGTATATATATATATATATATATATATATATATATATATATTTTTTTTTTATTGATAGATATATAGATATTTATTAATATATATATATATATATATAGATAGATATTTATTGATAGATATATAGATATTTATTAATATATATATATATATATATAGATAGATATTTATTGATAGATATATAGATATTTATTAATATATATATATATATAGATAGATATTTATTGATAGATATATAGATATTTATTAATATATATATATATATAGATATTTATTAATATATATATTAATAAATATCTATATATATCTATCTATCTATCTATCTATATATATATATATATATATATATATATATATAGATATTTATTGATAGATAGATAGATATAGATATTTATTGATAGATAGATAGATAGATATATATAGATATTTATTTGTAACCGTAGGTCACATGGTAAGAAGGCTGTTTGTGAATCAGTCTCTTACCTTGTCCCCATAGGGGCCCGTGTCTACAGGACCCATGTCTTTGGAACCAGGCATGCGATACCCTCCTCCACCTCTTCCTCCTCTCCGCATCTCTCCGTTGTATTCATTCATTCCTCGCTTGTCTCCGTCCATCTTTTTGTCTCCACCGGGGTCATCACCCTGACAAACAACAAAGTCAGTGAGTGACCCCAACAGCTGTTCACCATGCCACAATTTAAGTTTTAACTGCCATCTGGCCTGATGCTGAACTATGACCCCATAGCTGCAGGAGCTGGGGATCAAACCCCGACTCCACCACTGAGCCACAGCCATGTGAACTAACGCCTTAAAGACATACGTGCTGCCAAAGTTACATAGTGCAGAGAGCATGAGAGGACAGGAGAGGACAGGAGAGGACAGGAGAGGACAGGAGACGCCATCCTCGACTACTTTAAGACAACGTTACAGATTGTTGCTTTAAGGAAAACAATCCTTCTAACAGCAGCTTCAGATTTTAAGATTTTCTTACCAGCAGACCCATATTTGAAAACTGGCGAGCCACCGGGTTCATCCAGCTGTCTCCACCGCCGCCCTTAAAGAAAAAGTGTTTAAAAACTTTGTTCAGATAAAGAGAACAGCTCGGTCTTGAAACAACAGGCACTCAGTAAACTAAAGTAAGTTTTGGTTTCATGGATTTCCTTTTCCTTACCTTGATGTTTCCTCTTTTACCCATGTGACTCTGACCCCAGCCTCCCGAGTTGAAGGAGGAGCCGCTCCCCTGGGAGCCCGCGTTGGTCCACACTCCTCCAACGCCATCATCCTCCTCGTCCCAGCTGGGGTGCCGGGTCGCTGCGACTGACCCCTCCCCCTTCCCTCCCCAGCTCTCCATGGACTTGTTGCCTGGTGGATTCAAACACGATGGTTTGAACATGTAAACAAAATCATTTCCTTTAAAAATCCACAAAATCCTTACCAGGTTTAGTGATGTTAGGCGCAGGGTTCACCCAGCCAGAAGCTTTGCCAGGTTCATCATGATCCCCCCAACTTGTTGCTGAATCTGCCGTCTGGCCCCAAGCAGCTGTTCCATTATCCACCGACTGAGCACCTGCTCCCCACATACCTGCAGCTGATGGAGGGAGAAACCACTTCCTGTTTGAGTTTACTGTGTTTACATGTTCACTACAGATAAACCAATCAGACTGTGGACACTTACAACGCTGACATTTATTGTGGACATTTTAATTAAAGAGAAGAAGCTCTGGAAACATTGATGATGTTTTTGTGGAGATTCAGGAACAACTTTATGAGCAGGTGTCCAAAAAGAAAACTCTTCACCTTCTTGTACAGACGCTGACATACAATATATTTGGGTAATTTAGACATTGTGCAGTTTGTTTGCAATTAAAGGCTTTATATGTGATTTTTTTGATCCAGCAGATGTCGCCCTTGAGCACCAGCATGAAACCAAAACAACTGGCGCTGCATTGTTGTGTTAGCATGCTAATGCTAGCGATCTTTATTATGCTGGTATCTTCACACTGCATGTAAATTTACCTGAAATGAGCGTGATCTAGAAACACAGTTAAGCAGTGAGTACAGTATGTTATTCTTCTTTTCTCTAGTCCCTCAATTAAACAACTTTTATACACGAGGGGAGGAGTCAGCCGGCCGTCCCGGCGATGTAAACAAAGTGAAGATAGGACTCTGAAAACTCTGAAAACATCACAGACAGTGGGACTCGGGTGTTACACCCATTGTAGACAGTCATGACTCACAGAGTTATTTTCAGAGGACATACTTGATTTATATTTAAGTGAGAAAAATCACAGAAAGACTTTAATGGGGATTAAAACCAAGAAATGATCCATTATTGTTGCCATGGTAACAAACAGGTATCAATTTTATTTGATTTTCACTAGAATGGTATCAAAGGTTAAATTTCCTGATGTAATATAACCTGAGCTTACCAACAGCAGCAGGGGGGGGGTTGGTTTCCCGTCCATGCTGCATTCCGTGCTGCCTCCTGGGTGGTGGTTGTTGCTGCATGGGGGGTGCAGGTGGCGCTTGCTGACAGTGGCTTTGGTCGGGTGCGGCGCTGCTTTTGTCCCACAGATTGACATTCTTGGTGTTGTAGCGGGTCGGGTCTCCCCAGGCCGATGTGCCGTCATCGATCTCCATCTTCCTGCTGATGGACTGAGGGGACGGTTCCTCCCAGCCGCTGGACTCCAGGGAGTCAGCCCCTCCCCCGGGGATTTGGGGTATGGGGCCTGAGGTCCAGCCTGAACTTTGGTTCTGATTCTTAGATGGTGGACCTCCACCTGCAGCGTTGGAGCGGCTGCTCCACCCCCCCTTGTTGCTGCTGGCCCTGTGATTGGTGCTGCTGTGTGTTTGGAGTTTTTGTGTGACTGTTTGGTATGTGTGCAGCTGCTGATGGGGGGGGCTTGGCACTGTCCCAGTCCTGGTGGGGTTTACCTCCAACTGCATCCCCCCCTCCCCACCCTCCTCGCTGAGATCCACCTTCATCCACATTACCCCAGGAAGATCCCTCTTCCTTGTGGCTTCCACCTCTGCTCCGCCCATCGCCACACCCCCCTCCAGGTCCAGAGTCCCTCTGACCCCAGTCCCCCCCCCATCCCCCTCCCTCCCCTCTCCCTGTCCCCTTCCTACCCCCTGTCCCTTTATCCTCTGGACCATCAGCCCAGCCACTACCCTGTTCTCCAAAGTCTCTCCAGCCCCCCCCTCTCCCTCTGCGCCCCCCCCACTGTTGTTCCTCGCCCCCCCATCCTTTGCCCTGGTGACTAGTCGGGCGTTCCCCCCACCCTCCAGCTGCCGGGCTCTGACTGGACTCCATCTCTTCTTCAGGTGTTCCTGGTTTCCTCACAGTGCTGTGAGGAGCGCAGGTGGAGGCGCTGCCGTCCCATCCGTCCCTCCCTGAACCGGGACCGGAGCTCTGACCGCCATCATTAGTGCTTGAGCTGTGATTGGACGAGAACCCAGGTGCAGAACTGTTGGTACTGTTCATGGAGGCGGAGGAGAAAGAGGACGGGCTTCTTTCATTTCTTTTTCCTCTTGAAGAGTCCAGGTCCCAGGCCACATTCTGTCTGACCTGGGTCTGCCCCCAGCCCTTATTGGATAAGACCCGGGGGTCCAGGTCAGATCTACTGAGCATGCTCAGTAAGGCCACTTCAGCATTGGACGTCTGGGGGGGGTTGATCGGGAGCAGCCTTGGCCTGCTCCTGCTTTTGTCCACCATCACTATCATCCCCGCCGCTGCCGGCTATGGACCCCCCTCCGCTCGAGGTTGAAGGTTGTCCACCTCCCGTACCCCCACCCTGCCCCCCCCACTCCCCAACCGCCCCCTCCCCACTCTCCATCCCTTTCTGATTGTCCCAAGCTTTTGTCTTGGTAGCAAACTTTGGTGAGGCAGATTCCTGTGACACACCGTTACCTCCACAGCTGCTGCTGCTGCTCCCCCCCCCTCCTCCACCTTCTATTGCTGAGTTACTCGACTTACACCCCCCTCTGTGCCCCCCCACTCCGATTCTGATCCGCCTCCTTCCAACGCTCCCTGAGTTACCACTGTGGTATTTGAGCCACCATCACTCCCTCTGGCCCACCCCGCCTTTCCCCCCAGACCCCCAAAGCCCCACACGTTCCCTTCCTGCCCCTGAGCTCCACCACCCCCTCCTCCACCCCCCCATCCGTCTGCCTGTGACCCCCCTGCACTGAGGTCAGCGGGCACTGGAGGCATGGATCTCCAAGAAGAAGATGCAGCAGATGAGGAAGACGAGGAGCTGGAAAGATTAGTAATCCCTCCTCCTTCCACTCTCGTACCCCCAAAGTCCCTTTCATCGCCCCCCTCCTGATTTGGTCCCGCTCCGCCTGAACCCGGCTCGCGGCCCGGGTTTCCTAAGTGCTGCTGTGGGTCGCCCCCCCTGGCTCCCCCAGCTGTCTCAGTGTGCTGCTGAGGGACTCCAGATTGATTCACAGATGAGAGAGTGGTGATGAGGGGGGAGCTGGCAGAGGAAACTGAAGTAATGGATGGGTGCTGAGGAAGGCTGTCGTTCACCGTCGTCGATGTCCCAGCCTGCACCAGGGCGGGCCAGGCAGACGGGTTCACGTTGGGGTTGAAGTTGGCACCAGAGACACTGCTGCCACCCACGGGGCTCTCCTGAGGCCCGGGAAGAAGATGGGAGACTTTGGAATTGTAAAATGCTGCAGATCCAAGGCCGGCCTCCACCTGAAAGGAGGAGGAGGAGCCCCACACACCGCCGCCGCTCGACTGGACACATTCATTAAGCGAGGAGGAGAGAGGAGAAGAACGAGGGGAGGAAGGATTGTCCGTGTTCCCTCCTCCTCCTCCTGTTCCTCCCTTCTGCTGGATGGTTTTCTCACCCCATGAGGCACTACTGTTGTTGTTACCAGGGCCGTCTTGATCCTGCACGCCTCCTCCAGACCCGTCACCGCCTACTTTGGCCCCGCCAAGGATGCTGGGCCAGTCCCCCAGGTCAGACCCATCCACCATCACCTTCCCGCAGCCCTGAGAGGAGGACAGGCTGCCAGAGCCCGACCCCCATGTGGAATTTGCATAAGTTGAAGTAGTAGTAGTAGAAGAAGAAGACGGAGCAGCGACACATGATGAGGATGAGGAGGAGTTCAGGGGTGAAGTAGATGATGAGCCCAGGTTGGAATCTGTAAAAAAAACAAAAAAAAAAACACAACAATTAAAGAGAGACAGAAATTACAAATCAGATCCACCCACTAAATTGCACAAAAATATTGGCAACGTTTCAGAGGACAGAGTGTGACAAGTGACAGAGGAACTTTGTTGTGCATATGTTGCACTGCTATACATATCCCACAAACTTAGTATCTGGGATACCTCTGTATACAGCAGAATGCGTAAATAAAGACAAATTGAGTTCTGCAATACAAAGAACAAAGAGAGAAGGGAAAAGAGGAGGGGAGAAGGTAGGGGCAAGATGGGCAATTTGTTTTAATTAAAACAAGAAATTACCCAATATTGGGTGTCTAGGACTTTTGTTTTTGTTGCTGTGGTATCAAACCGATATCTTCATGGTTTGATTTTTTCTCAACTGTTAAAGTTTATAATTCTGGAATCATGATGACGCTGCTTATAGAAAGAAAACACTTAAACTCCTCAGTGTGTCATCTCATACTTCAAACATGAACTCACCTGTGCCTCCAGCTGTGTTTGCATTGGGGTTATCTGCCCAGCCACTTCCTGTCCCCCCTTCCCCCCCTCCTCCCCCCAGCAGCATGGAGGACAGCAGCGGCTGGCCCCGCTTCAGTAGCACTTTATGGTCCTGCTGGCAGCGAAACCTCGGTGGAACCTCTCTCGACATGTATCGCTGCTGTTGGGATGTCTGGCTTCCTGCAGGGGAGGAGGAGGGCTGTCCGTTGGCCACAGCAGTCCGCTGCTTTGCATTGTTCCCACCACCAGGAGGAACCTGTGCAGAAACCCCCGGCTGCAGCAGGACTGGGGGACGGGGGGGCGAGAGGGCCAGGGCTGGGGGACACTGAGCCTTGGGTGGTGAGTGGCTGGGAGGTGGAGGGCTTGGCTGATTCTGGCACTGAAGGACAAAAGTGTGTGTGTGTGTGTGTGTTACTTCATTCATATGGATCAGCAGAATGGATCTCCTTTAAGTCAACAAACTGTAAAATCATCATTATTATGAAAAGTGAGACATGGAAACTTACCTTTGATTTTCTGTTCTGGCACCTAAAATAAAAAAGAAGAAGTGAGTCAGATGATAGTGTGACCTTGACAGTTTAATAAATAAAAAAACATTTTCTTTCTCGTCCTCAGACCGTGATCTCTTTAGACTTTCATCTCGTTACAGACATTGACCTTTTTTTTTTTTTTTTTTTTCACAAGAGTGCCGTAACTAAGCTCAGACATCACACATATTGGTCCAATAGTAAATGTCTCCTGGTGAACCAGGCACCCAGGAAGAGTGATTTGAAGCTGATTTAACATGGTGGTCGAATTTGGTATTGCATCGTCATGTGACGCCATTAGGGCCAAAAAGACCGTTTCCCACAAGCTTACATCTGGAAAGAGACGTCAGTGGATACATTTAAATAGAGTACATATACTTCCCCCACAAGGAACCCCTACATGGCCTGTTTTGGACGCCCCTCGGTTTACCAGATATGAGAGCAGTTATCAGGTCAACAGGTGTTGCAGCGATGGAAGCGGTCAAGAGAAGTGGTTCAGATAGAAGTGATTGTACCCGACCTAAAAAGCCTCTGCATGTTTCTAATAAGCTCCACGAGCAGAAACGTGCTCAAACTAGGATCAATATTGGAGATGCTTTTGAAAAATGGAGAGAGGTTAGAACACAGAAAGGTTTACAGACCCATGCAGAGCTGGATAAACACTGAAGCTTCAGAGTCCACCACATGGTGACCTGAGTGAGCATCCACTCTAGAGAGGAGGGGGGGGGGACAGCTCTCTATGATGTTTAGAATCTAGACTGCAGTACCCATTTTAAACACCAGGGGGTCAGAGTTACATATTGCTCATTTAAAAACAAATTCAGATATTCTATGGACATAATGAACGCAGATCAGAGCCACATGACTTCGCCTCCCATGTGCTCATGCTCTATGGTCCCAGTAACACGTGGAAGTCAGACTTTTTTTGCTTCATGCGTCACTGAGCAGCTTTCATCCAAATGAACGAGGCTCCACCTTCAATGCTGTATCCACTTCTATAAAATGTGCATGGTGTGAATCAGACCAAACTTAATTAGTTATTATGCACAGATGAAACAAACTGGTTGATGATTCAGACCAGAGCAAACGAACCAGAGGTGAGAAAACTATCCAAACTTCACTAAATTATAAAAAAACCCACAAAACTTCAGCGACCTCATGAGATGAATTTAACGTATGTGACAGATTCTCACCTTCTGAGAGGTTTCCCTTTTCTTTTTATCTTCTTTCTTCTTTTTCTTGTCTTCCATGAACCACTGTTCCCTTTCCTGATTCTCCTGTCTGAGAACACAAATGAACACATTCAATTATTCATGTCACACTTCAACGCACTCTGCCCGACACAAGCAGACGTTTCTACACGTGCATCAGGCACACTTGTGTTATTATGGTACATATTTCATCAGAGTCATGTCACATGTAGTCAGATCCAGATACTGTCATTCAGTCTGTAATGTTAACCAGGGCCAGCCTGACAACAGCTCTGGTCGCTTCTCGCTGCATAATTCATTAACCAGCAGACGACGCAGGCTGCAGCCAAACAAACGAGGGACTTCAAACTATTAGAGCATCTCAGAAAAGTCCCGTTCTCCTGCTTTACTGAAGAGACGCTAACGTCTGCAGGATGGACAGGACGCCAGCTGGGACAGGGAGCTGTGAGGTGTTGTGAAGGGCACGCTCTGAGCTTACACCTGCCTCCAATTCAGCAGAGAGTTAACCAACGAGAGACGCAAACATACACCTCATTGTCAGGTTAACGAGAGCGTGACGAGGGGAGATCAAGAGACAAACATGAAGAAGCTATAAAGAGCTGTAAATGTGTTAGCTGCACACGATTAGCATCACGTCATGCTAAAGAAAGCTAACTGGACATGTAATGGCTGCATGCTTCTCTGTGTCATTTAGAAATGAAGGCTTTCAACATTATAATAATAATATGATAATCTTTGAAATTTTAAGAAATGATAGACTCAAAACCAGCTTTTAAAGAAAGAACATCTATTCAGGGTCGTCACCAAAAACCAAAATGTTAAACGTTGTTTTGATTCTTGATACCAAACGCCTCACTCCCCTCCCGTTTTAACCTCTTCAAACGCTGCCAAATGTTTCCCAGAAACTTAGAGAGTGTGCAGGAGTTTGTCCCCTCCTTGTACCTGCCTTATGATGTTATAAAAATAAAGGATGCACTGATGCTATCGGCTCCGCTGACAGACAGAAATGTGGTCTGACGCGACGTCGGTAGATACGAAATCAATAAACACTCACACAAGGAAATCTGTACAGTTTGACCCCCGAAGTCCAGCTGGTTTGATTAGTGTGAGCGCTCTGTACACTTCCTCAACCCTGACACGCTTTAAAGTGGTGGTCATTTATGAGCACAAGCATGGGAACGCAACAAGGACAGGGCATAAAGCCGATCCCCGTCTTGTAAAATCCTGAACCCGGGGTAGTAATGGACCATATCGACCATATGCAACAAAGTTCTCTGATGTTTAAAGAAACTTCACCGTTATCAGACCATCTTTGGCCGCTCCTTTACAGCCAGCAGACATGTTGAGGTGTTTCATGTTACTCAGCGTGTGAGTTATGAATCTATCAACATGATAACTGACACTTTATTCATGGTCCAACTCTGAAGAGCCTTTTTAATGATGCAAACTGCAGATATTGTATTTCCTGTTCCGCTGCGCTTCAGCAGGATGACGTGATGACGTTTGTAAGGTCACCGTGCTCAGGCCCGGTTTGGACCAGAGCAGTGTGAGCGCAGGCCAGGAGGGGACTGAGGAGGGGGGGCAATCAAAGTACGGGGCAAGAGGACCTGGAAGTGAGTGCCCCCTTAGAGCTTCTGCACAAAAACATTTAACATTTATTTCACAAGACGCTGAAGAGGAATTAATTCATCTAGAAGGACAGGAAAACTATGCACACTGCGTCGGCTGTTTGTGTTTGTCAGGCTGTTGTTTGTCAGGCTGTTGTTTGTCAGGCTGTTGTTTGTGAGGCTGTTTGTCAGGCTGTTTGTGTTTGTGAGGCTGTTGTTTGTGAGGCAGTTTGTGTTTGTGAGGCTGTTTGTGTTTGTGAGGCTGTTGTTTGTGAGGTTGTTTGTCAGGCTGTTTGTGTTTGTCAGGCTGTTGTTTGTGAGGTTGTTTGTCAGGCTGTTTGTGTTTGTCAGGCTGTTGTTTGTGAGGTTGTTTGTCAGGCTGTTTGTGTTTGTCAGGCTGTTTGTGTTTGTGAGGCTGTTTATGTTTGTCAGGCTGTTTGTGTTTGTGAGGCTGTTTGTGTTTGTGAGGCTGTTTGTGTTTGTGAGGCTGTTGTTTGTGAGGTTGTTTGTCAGGCTGTTTGTGTTTGTGAGGCTGTTGTTTGTGAGGTTGTTTGTCAGGCTGTTTGTGTTTGTCAGGCTGTTGTTTGTGAGGTTGTTTGTCAGGCTGTTTGTGTTTGTCAGGCTGTTTGTGTTTGTGAAGCTGTTTATGTTTGTCAGGCTGTTTGTGTTTGTGAGGCTGTTTGTGTTTGTGAGGCTGTTTGTATTTGTCAGGCTGTTGTTTGTCAGGCTGTTGTCTGTCAGGCTGTTTGTGTTTGTCAGGCTGTTTGTGTTTGTCAAGCTGTTGTTTGTCAGGCTGTTGTCTCTCAGGCTGTTGTCTGTCAGGCTGTTTGTGTTTGTCAGGCTGTTTGTGTTTGTCAGGCTGTTGTTTGTCAGGCTGTTGTTTGTCAGGCTGTTGTCTGTCAGGCTGTTGTCTGTCAGGCTGTTGTTTCTCAGGCTGTTGTCTGTCAGGCTGTTGTCTGTCAGGCTGTTGTTTGTCAGGCTGTTGTTTCTCAGGCTGTTTGTGTTTGTCAGGCTTTTTGTGTTTGTCAGGCTGGTGTTTGTCAGGCTGTTTGTGTTTGTCAGGCTGTTGTTTGTCAGGCTGTTTGTGTTTGTCAGGCTGTTTGTGTTTGTCAGGCTGTTGTTTGTCAGGCTGTTGTCTGTCAGGCTGTTGTTTGTCAGGCTGTTTGTGTTTGTCAGGCTGTTGTTTGTCAAGCTGTTGTTTGTCAGGCTGTTTGTGTTTGTCAGGCTGTTGTTTGTCAGGCTGTTGTTTGTCAGGCTGTTGTTTGTGAGGCTGTTGTTTGTGAGGCTGTTTGTGTTTGTCAGGCTGTTGTTTCTCAGACTGTTTGTGTTTGTCAGGCTGTTTGTGTTTGTCAGGCTGTTGTTTGTCAGGCTGTTTGTGTTTGTCAGTCTGTTTGTTTTTGTGAGGCTGTTGTTTGTGAGGTTGTTGTTTGTCAGGCTGTTGTTTGTCAAGCTGTTGTTTGTCAGGCTGTTTGTGTTTGTCAGGCTGTTGTTTGTCAGGCTGTTTGTGTTTGTCAGGCTGTTGTTTGTCAGGCTGTTGTTTGTGAGGCTGTTTGTGTTTGTCAGGCTGTTTGTGTTTGTCAGGCTGTTGTTTGTCAGGCTGTTTGTGTTTGTCAGGCTGTTGTTTGTGAGGCTGTTGTTTGTCAGGCTGTTGTTTGTGAGGCTGTTGTTTGTCAGGCTGTTTGTGTTTGTCAGGCTGTTGTTTGTCAGGTTGTTTGTGTTTGTCAGGCTGTTGTTTGTCAGGCTGTTTGTGTTTGTCAGGCTGTTGTTTGTCAGGCTGTTGTTTCTCAGACTGTTTGTGTTTGTCAGGCTGTTGTTTGTCAGGCTGTTTGTTTTAGTGAGGCTGTTGTTTGTCAGGCTGTTGTTTGTCAGGCTGTTTGTGTTTGTCAGGCTGTTGTTTGTCAGGCTGTTTGTCAGGCTGTTTGTGTTTGTCAGGCTGTTTGTGTTTGTCAGGCTGTTGTTTGTCAGGCTGTTGTCTGTCAGGCTGTTGTTTGTCAGGCTGTTGTTTCTCAGGCTGTTTGTGTTTGTCAGGCTGTTGTTTGTCAAGCTGTTGTTTGTCAGGCTGTTTGTGTTTGTCAGGCTGTTGTTTGTCAGGCTGTTGTTTGTCAGGCTGTTTGTGTTTGTCAGGCTGTTGTTTGTGAGGCTGTTGTTTGTGAGGCTGTTTGTGTTTGTCAGGCTGTTGTTTGTCAGGCTGTTGTTTCTCAGACTGTTTGTGTTTGTCAGGCTGTTTGTGTTTGTCAGGCTGTTGTTTGTCAGGCTGTTTGTGTATGTCAGTCTGTTTGTTTTTGTGAGGCTGTTGTTTGTGAGGCTGTTGTTTGTCAGGCTGTTGTTTGTCAGGCTGTTTGTGTTTGTCAGGCTGTTGTTTGTCAGGCTGTTTGTGTTTGTCAGGCTGGTTTTTGTCAGGTTTGTGTTTGTCAGGCTGTTGTTTGTCAGGCTGTTGTTTGTCAGGCTGTTGTTTGTCAGGCTGTTGGTGTTTGTCAGGCTGTTGTTTGTGAGGCTGTTTGTGTTTGTCAGGCTGTTTGTCAGGTTGTTTGTGTTTGTCAGGCTGTTGTTTGTCAGGCTGTTTGTGTTTGTCAGGCTGTTGTTTGTCAGGCTGTTGTTTCTCAGACTGTTTGTGTTTGTCAGGCTGTTTGTTTTAGTGAGGCTGTTGTTTGTCAGGCTGTTGTTTGTCAGGCTGTTTGTGTTTGTCAGGCTGTTGTTTGTCAAGCTGTTGTTTGTCAGGCTGTTTGTGTTTGTCAGGCTGTTGTTTGTCAGGCTGTTTGTGTTTGTCAGGCTGTTGTTTGTCAGGCTGGTTTTTGTCAGGCTGTTGTTTGTCAGGCTGTTTGTGTTTGTCAGGCTGGTTTTTGTCAGGCTGTTTGTGTTTGTCAGGCTGTTGTTTGTCAGGCTGTTGGTGTTTGTCAGGCTGTTGTTTGTCAGGCTGTTGGTGTTTGTCAGGCTGTTGTTTGTGAGGCTGTTGTTTGTCAGGCTGTTTGTGTTTGTCAGGCTGTTTGTGTTTGTCAGGCTGTTGTTTGTGAGGCTGTTGTTTGTCAGGCTGTTTGTGTTTGTCAGGCTGTTGTTTGTGAGGCTGTTGTTTGTCAGGCTGTTTGTGTTTGTCAGGCTGTTGTTTGTGAGGCTGTTGTTTGTCAGGCTGTTTGTGTTTGTCAGGCTGTTGTTTGTGAGGCTGTTGTTTGTCAGGCTGTTTGTGTTTGTCAGGATGTTGTTTGTCAGGCTGTTGTTTGTCAGGCTGTTGTTTGTGAGGCTGTTGTTTGTCAGGCTGTTGTTTGAGAGGCTGTTGTTTGTCAGGCTGTTGTTTGTATTTGTCAGGCTGTTGTTTGTGAGGCTGTTGTTTGTCAGGCTGTTTGTGTTTGTCAGGCTGTTGTTTGTGAGGCTGTTTGTGTTTGTCAGGCTGTTGTTTGTCAGGCTGTTGTTTGTCAGGCTGTTTGTGTTTGTCAGGCTGTTGTTTGTGAGGCTGTTTGTGTTTGTCAGGCTGTTGTTTGTCAGACTGTTGGTGTTTTTTTCAGGCTGTTGTTTGTGAGGCTGTTGTTTGTGAGGCTGTTGTTTGTCAGGCTGTTGTTTGTCAGGCTGTTGTTTGTCAGGTTGTTGTTTGTCAGGCTGGTGTTTGTCAGGCTGTTTGTTGTTTGTCAGGCTGTTTGTCAGGCTGTTGTTTGTCAGGCTGTTTATGTTTGTCAGGCTGTTGTTTGTCAGGCTGTTTGTCAGGCTGTTGTTTGTCAGGCTGTTTGTGTTTGTCAGGCTGTTATTTGTCAGGCTGTTGTTTGTCAGGCTGGTGTTTGTCAGGCTGTTTGTCAGGCTGTTGTTTGTCAGGCTGTTTGTCAGGCTGTTGTTTGTCAGGCTGTTTGTGTTTGTCAGGCTGTTATTTGTCAGGCTGTTGTTTGTGAGGCTGTTTGTTGTTTGTCAGGCTGTTTGTCAGGCTGGTGTTTGTCAGGCTGTTTGTGTTTGTCAGGCTGTTGTTTGTGAGGCTGTTTGTGTTTGTCAGGCTGTTGTTTGTCAGGCTGTTGTTTGTCAGGCTGTTTGTGTTTGTCAGGCTGTTGTTTGTGAGGCTGTTTGTGTTTGTCAGGCTGTTGTTTGTCAGGCTGTTGGTGTTTGTGAGGCTGTTGTTTGTCAGGCTGTTGTTTATCAGGCTGTTGTTTGTCAGGTTGTTGTTTGTCAGGCTGGTGTTTGTCAGGCTGTTTGTTGTTTGTTAGGCTGTTTGTCAGGCTGTTGTTTGTCAGGCTGTTGTTTGTCAGGCTGTTTGTGTTTGTCAGGCTGGTGTTTGTCAGGCTGTTTGTGTTTGTCAGGCTGTTGTTTGTGAGGCTGTTGTTTGTCAGGCTGTTTGTGTTTGTCAGGATGTTGTTTGTCAGGCTGTTGTTTGTCAGGCTGTTGTTTGTGAGGCTGTTGTTTGTGAGGCTGTTGTTTGTCAGGCTGTTGGTGTTTGTCAGGCTGTTGTTTGAGAGGCTGTTGTTTGTCAGGCTGTTTGTGTTTGTCAGGCTGTTGTTTGTCAGGCTGTTTGTATTTGTCAGGCTGTTGTTTGTGAGGCTGTTGTTTGTCAGGCTGTTTGTGTTTGTCAGGCTGTTGTTTGTGAGGCTGTTTGTGTTTGTCAGGCTGTTGTTTGTCAGGCTGTTTGTGTTTGTCAGGCTGTTGTTTGTGAGGCTGTTTGTGTTTGTCAGGCTGTTGTTTGTCAGACTGTTGGTGTTTTTTTCAGGCTGTTGTTTGTGAGGCTGTTGTTTGTGAGGCTGTTGTTTGTCAGGCTGTTGTTTGTCAGGCTGTTGTTTGTCAGGCTGGTGTTTGTCAGGCTGTTTGTTGTTTGTCAGGCTGTTTGTCAGGCTGTTGTTTGTGAGGCTGTTTGTTGTTTGTCAGGCTGTTTGTCAGGCTGTTGTTTGTGAGGCTGTTGTTTGTGAGGCTGTTGTTTGTCAGGCTGTTGTTTGTCAGGTTGTTGTTTGTCAGGCTGGTGTTTGTCAGGCTGTTTGTTGTTTGTCAGGCTGTTTGTCAGGCTGTTGTTTGTCAGGCTGTTGTTGTTTGTCAGGCTGTTTGTGAGGCTGTTGTTTGTCAGGCTGTTTGTCAGGCTGTTTGTGTTTGTCAGGCTGTTTGTCAGGCTGTTGTTTGTCAGGCTGTTTATGATTGTCAGGCTGTTGTTTGTCAGGCTGTTTGTCAGGCTGTTGTTTGTCAGGCTGTTTGTGTTTGTCAGGCTGTTATTTGTCAGGCTGTTGTTTGTCAGGCTGGTGTTTGTCAGGCTGTTTGTCAGGCTGTTGTTTGTCAGGCTGTTTGTCAGGCTGTTGTTTGTCAGGCTGTTTGTGTTTGTCAGGCTGTTATTTGTCAGGCTGTTGTTTGTGAGGCTGTTTGTTGTTTGTCAGGCTGTTTGTCAGGCTGGTGTTTGTCAGGCTGTTTGTGTTTGTCAGGCTGTTGTTTGTGAGGCTGTTTGTGTTTGTCAGGCTGTTGTTTGTCAGGCTGTTGTTTGTGAGGCTGTTTGTGTTTGTCAGGCTGTTGTTTGTCAGGCTGTTGTTTGTCAGGCTGTTTGTGTTTGTCAGGCTGTTGTTTGTCAGGCTGTTGTTTGTCAGGCTGTTTGTGTTTGTCAGGCTGTTTGTCAGGCTGTTGTTTGTCAGGCTGTTTGTGTTTGTCAGGCTGTTGTTTGTCAGGCTGTTGTTTGTCAGGCTGTTGTTTGTCAGGCTGTTTGTGTTTGTCAGGCTGTTGTTTGTCAGGCTGTTGTTTGTCAGGCTGTTTGTGTTTGTCAGGCTGTTTGTGTTTGTCAGGCTGTTGTTTGTCAGGCTGTTGTTTGTCAGGCTGTTTGTGTTTGTCAGGCTGTTGTTTGTCAGGCTGTTTGTCAGGCTGTTGTTTGTCAGGCTGTTTGTGTTTGTCAGGCTGTTTGTGTTTGTCAGGCTGTTGTTTGTCAGGCTGTTGTTTGTCAGGCTGTTTGTGTTTGTCAGGCTGTTTGTCAGGCTGTTGTTTGTCAGGCTGGTGTTTGTCAGGCTGTTTGTCAGGCTGGTGTTTGTCAGGCTGTTTGTCAGGCTGGTGTTTGTCAGGCTGTTCGTCAGGCTGTTTGTGTTTGTCAGGCTGTTTGTGTTTGTCAGGCTGTTGTTTGTCAGGCTGTTGTTTGTCAGGCTGTTTGTGTTTGTCAGGCTGTTTGTCAGGCTGTTGTTTGTCAGGCTGGTGTTTGTCAGGCTGTTTGTCAGGCTGGTGTTTGTCAGGCTGTTTGTCAGGCTGTTGTTTGTCAGGCTGTTTGTCAGGCTGGTGTTTGTCAGGCTGTTTGTCAGGCTGTTTGTCAGGCTGTTGTTTGTCAGGCTGGTGTTTGTCAGGCTGTTTGTCAGGCTGGTGTTTGTCAGGCTGTTTGTCAGGCTGGTGTTTGTCAGGCTGTTCGTCAGGCTGTTTGTCAGGCTGTTGTTTGTCAGGCTGTTGTCTGTCAGGCTGTTGTTTCTCAGGCTGTTTGTCAGGCTGTTTGTCAGGCTGTTTGTCAGGCTGTTTGGTGTTTGTCAGGCTGTTGTTTGTCAGGCTGTTTGTCAGGCTGTTGTTTGTCAGGCTGTTTGTCAGGCTGTTTGTCAGGCTGCTGTTTGTCAGGCTGTTTCTCAGCCGGTGTAGGCTACAGGCCGTGTTATTAAACCATTAACTTCAGTGACGTTTCTCCACCGAGCGAAGCAAACCAAAACGTCATTTGTTCTCTAAATGCGTCAAAAAGTGACGTCATTAGCCAGCACGTATTTCACACAGAGAACATAAAGCACACAAAGCTCAGTTTGAACACTCACCTCGGGAATCACACGGGACATAAAGTGCTTCTGTGCACAATTTCTCGCAGACCTACCGCTAGCAGGCTAGCAAAGCAGCTAGCCTAGCAAGCTAGTTCTTCGAGGCGATCAAGGCTGAGTAGAGTAAGAAATGACATCACCGAAAACCGAAATGTTGATCGTAGAAAAAACCGGAGGAAATGCGATTATCCTTAGAGAGCAAGTGTAGTCCTCAAGCTGTAAACAAAACACACCGAACCCGCTGATGACTGTCAGACGCTGTGTGATCGGTTAGTTTACTGGCGGCCATTTTGCTCCTGTGTGGAGCTTCAGCAGATGAGCTCACAGCTTGTTGATGAGAGAGGGGAGGAGGAGCAGCGCGCCTGCGCACACGGGCCACCAGAGGGCGACTCAACTCGGAAAGATGACGTCATTCACACGGAGGGTAAATAAGTAAACAACCGGGCCAGAACTGTGAATATATTTACCAGAAATAGACTTTTTATATTATTTATTATTTACAGTTTGTGGTACAAGGCTGAACGTGACAGTATGATGGTCTATTTAACTTTCTGGGACTTATTTATTTATTTATTTACTTGATTTTATTTATTTATTTTTTATTTATTCATTTATTTTTATTACATTTTTAAATGTTTTAAATTTTTATTTTACTCAGTCATTGAAATCAGTCAGCCTTCTACACGATTAAATCATCTTTTTAATAAATGCTCTACGTCTGTGATTAAATAACTTTAGTCACACGGCTGAAGCAGCATCATTGTTCTTCTTATGTTCTTCTTTATTTTTCAGAGAATTACTGAAGGTTGGATTGGAATCCACCAGCAACCTCCGGTGTTTAAACATGAAGCCGATGCTGAAGTGTAAAATCCTGCAGTTCCTGGAGTGTCCACTAGAGGCCTCCTGCAGAAGCACAGGAAGTCACATACACACCCATTCTAAAAAGCCTGTTTTTACAGCAGAGATGAACATGTTTACAGCCTGGTTCAAAAAACCAAATAGGTGTGATTAGCTCATGTCTGGATGGACACACACTGTACGGGGGGTGAATGTTTTGATGACTCATCAGTTTTGATTTGATGAAGGATAAGAGTTATTCACAATAAGGCGTGTAGCTGACCTGATTGACAGGTGGGCGCGGTGTAACGGTTTGTCAGGAGGTTTAAAACCCGCCTCAGCTCCAGCTCTCAGCCTGTCGTTAGGTTGACTGAAAGTTAGACTGAGACAGCATTTCCAGCATGGAGACCGCCATGATGGGACTCCAGCGCCCCCTGCAGGAACAGACGGGGGACGCCATCGATGGGACTCCAGCGCCCCCTGCAGGAACAGACAGAGACCGCCATCGATGGGACTCCAGCGCCCCCTGCAGGAACAGACAGAGACCACCATCGATGGGACTCCAGCGCCCCCTGCAGGAACAGACGGGGGACGCCACTCAGGCTTCAAACATTCTTATTAACAGTGTCAAGTATCTTGTGCACACTGGAGATATTTTGTACTTTTGGGGACTTTAGACCTCTGTAGTTAGAGTATCTTCACTGATCTCGTTACATATTCATGAAAAAAAAAAGGAAAGATGGTCAGCTGTTTTTGGATGAGTTTATTTTTTTGACTTATGACAGAATAACAGATCATCAGTTAAAACCAGTGACAGTGAACAATCTCGTCTGCTGTCGACTGTAGTGTGAATAAAAATGCAGCTCAACCTAACCTGACGACAACAGATCCATGAAACCACACAGGTGTCTGTTATAATCTTGA